AATATCTTTTGTATATGTATACATACATACATACACAGAGAGCAGCATCTGCTGAAAAATCTTAACATTCCTTTCGAGGATTTACAATTGAAATCTTTCAGAAACATCCAAATGCATGAAAATCACAGAGCAAAACTGGTTTTACCAATTTGCTCAGTGAAACAAGGAAAAAAAACAAAATGCAAAAAACACTGGTTTAGCAAAGGATGGGTTTCATTATATACTCACTTTCCTTGGGCAGTTTTACTGTGGGGTTCCACCCCAGTTTCCAAACCAAGTCCCCCTTAAGGGAATGGGGTATTTCAGAGATGGTGCCACTTCTTCTTGTGGGCCCCCTCCTCAAGTCCAGCCCTTGAGAGACACTTGCCAGCTAAAGCTGAGCCCTCCCCCAGTTCCTCTTATGAGGAAAACCAGCTGTGGCAAATGCTGGGAGGAAAAAGGAAGCATTAGAGACCCAAGTCCCATTCCTCACAGGTGTGTTGGTTCAAATGATAATTGAGGAACTGCACTATCCACCACCCCTGCTTTCCAGCTGGCAAACCTTCTCCACCTGATCAGCAGCCTGGGCTGTAGCAACAATCTGCCACACTGATTTTCAGGCAAAGCACTTACTTAAACAGGATTTCAAACTAAAGAGGCAGGGAAGAAAACTTTATAAAATTAGACTATTTACCCTGCTAGCATAAATCTTAAAGAGTCTCCTGCACTGTTATTCAAAACATTTGCTCAGTTTTCAAAGCAAACAAGTGGGCTGAATCTTGAATAAAATTAGGTCCCTTGGTTATGCACCATGTGGATTTGCATATTGTTACACCTTAACTTTTGGCAGTCAGAACAGACGAATAATTTAAGGAACAGTACAGCATGATAATGGTAATATGTTGTTATTGGTATTGCGACTGTGAAACCGTAAATACATCATGTTTCCAGAAAAAAAATACACAGAATATACAGGATATTAGAAAACGTGCAGAACTGCTCTAGTTCTGATTGAAGAAGGAGACTGGGGTGGAAATTACACCTTGCAAATCCCAACATGCTTGTAAACACATGTGTTTTAATTAACCACTGCAGTCTTTCCTACTTCTGTCTTCATAACTTTCTCCTGCTACAGCCATGAAATGTCTACTGGAACAGTTCTGCCAATCCTGCAGAAGACCTAACATTGACTGCTGTCCAAATAGCAGATCAGCTATGGGACACTCACTTCGGCTTTTTCAGCTCTGAAGACCAGAATTTAAGTTCATAGTTTGTGTCACACAATGATGATATTTTGCTCTAATGATAAGCTCAGTGACAGGAGACAGCTGTGTAAGGAAGAAAGTCCATGCATTGCACTGTATCAGCTAAAACTCACAACAACTCTATTTATTTGACTTTCATCAGCACAAAATGGATTTACAAGTAAAAATAACATAACACATTTTAGTTAACTCCATAATCAGCATGCTTAAAGAACCCCAGAACCCAAAATGCAAAGATGATTCCTCATTACATATGCAGATTCCATAACATCAGCCAGGGATAAGCTATGTGTCAGGTTCTGACTCTGTCACCTCCCAGCAAATGTTGTAGGAAGGCAAGAAATTCCAAAATGCTCTCAGGGCTGTAAATTACACAGATGTAACTGAATATACAGAAACATTTAGTGAGAGGTAAAGACAAATGTCTGGCTTACACAGTGATCTCCAGCTAATGTCAATAGACGAGTGATCAGCTAAGAGAAAATACAGGGACCAGAAACAACCACAGGGCTAGAGGTCCTTTAATGCGTGGGAAAGTTAAGTCTTCCTTTTACCTATTTTTTTCCACAATAAGTAAACCTTTCTGTAAATGAAACCACGTGCAACCTCAAGTGAAGTTGTACAAGGGAGCCCTCCGTGGCCAAAGATGGAAATTCTGTCTTTCTCAGAGAAGCTGTTCATGCAAACCCTCCCTTGGTCAAGATCACTACTGCTTGCATTTGCTGCTTTTAAGCCTCAGAGCAGCCACTTCTGTCTCCATTCTCTCACCAGAACTGCGCTAAACCACCAGGCTCCCTGCTGTGTTATGCATACATGGCTTGACCCACTGGCTGCCATGGCTGCAAGGAACAACACAAGAAACACAGAAACCCTGGACAGCATGGCCTAGCTGAGCCCACAGCTCCTGGGGAGGCTTGCCCCTCTGGGATGTGTGAACAGAAAAATGCAAAAGCATATGGCAGGGAGGACTCCAAGCAACATATATGCTGGCTGTTTTCCCCCCATTTAACATCACACATGAAGCTGTTCCAACACCACTTGTCTATGTCCTGTCCTAGAGTCAAGGTATCTCTTGAGCTTCCTCCCCTCCATGTACCTTTTCATCCTTTCTCCTATTCTACATGCAAACACTACCTGAGGGCAACTACATAATTGTTTGGAGGAAGGCACTACCAAATGTGGTTGATACCTTTTGAACTAGAGCTTATCTTTCTGATATTTGATATCTTGTGGCTGTCTGCCTGCCTCTCCCTGGGAGTGAACAGTGACCACTCATGCTTATGTTTTTCCATTATGGGTGATGGAAGAAGCACGAGGTTGTGGCAAGCAGCAATGAAAAACTGCAACCTTGGCAGATGATTCAGCAACGGACAGAGCTTGGGTTTGGTCAGTGCACAGCAGCATTCTCTTCATTCCAAGCTAGTTTCCTAAAGCTTAAGGAAGAAATACCTCTAGCTGGCTGCTAGAGAAAGCAGGAAAACCTGTTCCCAGATTAACTGGCACAGATACTTTCAATCCTGTGCTCATCAGTGATGATGGTTTAATTACTAGCACCTGCCCTCTGTGCACTGATTCGCTGGATCTCCTCAGGACTGCTGAGGAGAATGGCCCAGCTTGTGTTCATCCAGCCTGAGGAGGACTTTGGGAAAGGTGATAGCACCTTGTGTACAGAGATGCCCTGGGCTACTCAAAGATCCTAAGCTGCTAAAAGCCTTTCAAGATCTAAAAGTAAAGGTTTCTTCCTCCTTTGCTACTAAATGAGATTACCCAACAGCTCCAGTGCTGCTTATCAAATTAAGAGACCTACTACCAAGGTGGCTCAGGGGACACAACAGCCCTCAAAGCCTCTTGGGCAAGTGGCATGCCCTTTTGGGCATGGATGCCCCTGTGCAGCTAACCAGTGAGGGGGAAGCACCTGAATCCTTTGCTCACAAGATGGGAGAAAAGGAGAGACATAAGGCAAGAAGTAGAGAATCAAAACATGTACTGCTCTGAAAAGCAGCAGCCTAAGAGGAGACCTGCAACAGTGCTGTGTATCAAAGACAAGAAACTCCCTGTCTGGTGGCCTAGATGCTCTCTGGACAATGTTTGGCTTAAGATGAGAAACTACTACATCCAGAACAGTCAGCCCTGTTTTTTATAAAAAGAGAAAAGTTAATCAAAAAGAAGTTATTTTAGAGCCATTTTATGAATACCTCCCTAATTTCCTACACTAGTTCTCGTCTAGCTAGTGTACACTGTCTTCCTTGTGTATTAAGGCAAAAGCACAAAGCTCAAATTCCCACTCCTGTGAAATGCTCCCTTCTCTTGTCTCTGTATACTTGTCTCTACACATTTTGTAGATTGCTTGAGTTTTACAACTCGGCTCTCGTAACTCATGTTTCAAAATTAACTATTCCATCAACAAACATGGGGAGAGGTTTAGGAGTCATGCTGCTGTTTCATTTATCTAACCTGCAGAGACACCCCTACACAGGGAGCAGGTCTGACCTAACATTTCCACAAAAAGATGGTCTAGGTTGCAAGGGACTGACTGGTTTGATACATGCAAAGGGACCCAGATCCTCCTGTAAGGAATTCTGGTTTCTTAACCCAGGCAAGCAAGCATGTTACTTTCTCTCTATTCAGGTGAATTAGGGAAACAAGATAGAAGCATAGAAATACATATTCCCAATCTCTCAAATTTTGAGCTTGGGTAAACTGCACCTCTGCTACTAATGCTACTTCACTGTAGTTCAGTTTATATTTCTGTATCAGCAATATCCCTTTACAGCCATCACAGAAACTCCTTCTCTAAACTGCAGAGACAATTCCTGAAGAGTCCCTCAGACACAGCCATGAAACACACAAACATGGAAGGCCACCTTCAGGCAGCCACATAACTCCCACAAGCATTCAAGCGCACCCAAATTATACACCAGGAACATTTTAGCAGCATAACCCTCACTACAACACATGACAAACCCTTCTCTGTCCCACTCAGAGCTCTCGGTAAACTTAATTCAAGCCACAGCCAGAATAAGCACTTAAAAAAAGGAAACGTATACTGGTAACCTCTATAATATTATAATTATTAAAAGTTCACAGTGATCTTGCCCCGGCTGCTTTGAGACAAACTGTAGAGGAGAGCGAGCTCTGCTTCTGCAACACTAATGATGATGCATTAGAAACACCCCAGCCTGTAGCAGAAGCAAGTAGATACAGGGTACCTCATCTGTTACTAAGAGAGTGTCCTCAGCTCTTAGATGTGAATTGTGCAATTTCTTATTGTTTGCTGTGCTTTAGTAGCCAGGTACCAAAAGGGAAGCAGCCGGGCTCCCCGCGGGTGCGGAGGCTCACTCTCCCCCCGGATCCCTGTTCTCCCGGGAGCCGGGATGCGCTAGCTCTTGAGTTAGGCTGCCCCCACCCCGGGGGCTACGCACCTGTGTTACCTCCGCGGTCGGGCTCGGACGGGAGAAGGATAACGTGAGGCATGCGGGACAGGACCGGGGATATCCCGAAAGCAAGAGGGAGAGGAGAAAGAAGGGAGTGTGGAGGGCAGAGACGCACAGTCACGGGCAAGGCGAGGAACCGGCATGCTGCAACCCCCATCGGTCGTCCAGGAGTACCCGGGATCTCGCAGGGTTACGGCTGCAGAAGGTGGGGTTTGAAAACAGCACACCGGGGACATCGTCCTCTGCCCCCGGGACCAACCGCATCCCTTCCCGGCACCGGTAGCGATGCAGTGCGCCCCGTCGCCGCTACTTACGTTTGCGCCGCAGGAGAGATGCGTCCTCGCCTTGTCCTCTCGGCTCCCAAATGCATTTGTATGCATTTGCCCGGTCAGCGGAGATCCGAGGGAAAGCTGGAGCCGAGCGCCGCGCCACCGCCGAGTCAGGTCCGGCCCACCAATCCCCACAGCCCCAGAGGTCTCCACAGAGCTCCGCGCAAGCCCGAGGGCGGCCCGGGGGGGGCGGGCGCAAGGGGGGCGGGGTGGGTACGTCGGAGAAGGCCCGCGGAGTGCGGCGCCTCTCCGGCACCGGCGGCCGGCCTGCCCGCCCGCCTGGGTGTTGAATTTCAGCGCTGGCCGCCGGCGATTACATCAGCAAACACGGGGCGGGACGGACTCGGCCGCGCTGTCCCGCGCAGCGACATCCTCGGGGCGCGCAGTGCCGCGCCGAACCGATAAGAGCCGATCGCTGTCAGCTCCAGCCCCGCGGAGGGGCCCGGGCAGGCAGAGCCGTGCGGTAGCCCCCGGTGCGCCCGTCCAACGGGCAGCGGGGGACTGTAAGGGGCAGACAGGTGATGGCGGTCAGCGCATCTGAAGGGCGAGAAGAGCCTTAGGTCCCACCGGGCTTCAGCTGGGAAGGGCTGGCAGAAAGCTGCAAGTTAGAAGTCAAAATGGGGGGGGGGGGGGGAAGGAGATGATGAAATGGTATAAGGAGAGAAAGCTGAGAGTGCTGGAGGGTTTACATCTCGAGTATAATTGAAGTGGGGTCCAGCAAGCCTCCCTCTGGAAAATGTTCGAAGAACAGATGTAATTTGGTAGCATTACAATTCCAAAAGAAATGCAACACCCTTCGCTATCTTCTTCCTAAAGAGACAAAGGACTTTTTAGCTTTAATTTCCAGTTTTCTTACGTTGTCCCAGTAGCATTTTATTACAATACCATCCCATAATACATCTTTATATAAGCTATCTCTCAGAACAAACAAGGTAGGGTTAAACAATACCAGACCTCACAATATGCACGTGGACAAATCCTGCAGCCTTACTTAGGCAAAACTTCCATTTACCTAAACAGAAATTTCATTGCAGTAGTTGGCTGTTGCTGGGTGTTACAAAAGCAAGAAGTTCACGAGACTTGTAGCAATGACCTTCAGGTTGTAGTGATGCGCGGATTGACTCCACAGCTCGTTAAAGTTGTAAAGTAGGTATGCTTTTTATTCAGCGCTGAAGACGCACGGGGATAATTCCTCAAAGTCATGCGTGCCCCAGTGTTGTTTCCCTCTACATTTATAAGGTTGCACCATACGCCTATACATATTCATGTCCTATCCCACTTCGTATTACAGTGAGCTAGAAGGTCCTTTGGGCCTGCGCAGTGCCCCCTCTAGTCATGGGCAGGGGTCTCAAGATGAAGTAAATGAGTCTTCCTCCTGTGGGTAGGGGTCTTCAAGATGAAGTAAATGAGTCTTCCTCTTCTTGAACTTCTCACCTTTCAGTCTTTACACATATGGCCTTAGGATTTGGTCCCAGCCATAAACCATCTGCTTCTCCCCCTTAACAGTAGATTCAGGGGTCTGCTTTTCCCTATCAATAGGTGCTTATCGGTAGAATCAGGTGTCTGCTTTTCCTTGTCAATAGAACCAAGTGTCTGCTTTTCCTTATCAATAGCTAGTGCCTTTGTTCTGCTTAGTAGGCATGATAGGTACAGACAATACCTTTGCTTAAGCAATCGAATTCCTCTAACCTCCCTGTAACAACCTCCCTGTAACAACCCCCCTGTACAACCCCCCTGTACATGGGTCAACCCTCTGCATCAGTAGGTGACGTGAAATAAAAGCAAATATATTCTGTAACAGCAGAAAACAAAAGATGTGATAAGGCACAAAGAATGTCTGTAGAATACCAGGAATTTATATCCTCGTATCTGAGGATGCTCCACTCAGCTGAGAAAGGCTTTTCTGAGCTATCAGGTAGCTGGGAACAGGCAGAAAAAAACAGGGCAAAAAGTGTCAGGGAAAAACTGTTTTCAGGCAACACACCAGAGTGGTTTTGAGTTAAATTTCACACTCAGTCATTTTCAATACCTTGAATCATTCAGAATCTATGTAGTCTCACTCGCTACCATGGGATATGCTTCATTATTTGAGGACAATGTAAAACCTGTCAACATTTCTCCTTCCTGACTCTGTACCCTGCCTTAAACAAAGTGACAGCAAAATATGAAAATGTGCTTGTTCACTGAAGAGAACATAGTGCCTGCCCAGGGAGGTATTGGACACTGTTGCAGTGAAGGCTTTCTCAGCATTTCTGTTTTAAACCACATTTGAATGGCTTCCAACAGCCTCAGTGTTGTATTTCAGTTAGGTTTTATTAGCATTAAGATGAACTAAGATGTACATTACAGATTCGGTTTGGAATGGTTTGGTGCCATTCCATGAAATCTATCAAGCTCTTAAATAAGATGTCATGTGTGGAGTAGGCTTTGCTTCAATAGCAAAAAATCACTATCAGGTTTATTCTTAGACTTGCTTCTTCCATGTGTTCTTACAGCCTAATAAGTGAGACCTACCATGTTTAAAGCTATTTCCAGTGCTGTTTATTTCCAGCAGTCTGTATACTTACAAGTAAGACACCAAGCTCCAGATACATTAACACTCATTGCAACTCAGTGATGCTGGAGTTTCATTTCCCATGGTAAATGTCTCGAGATCCCATTTTTCATGTCTGCTGTCTCCAGCTTGACCACAGCCTATCCACAATTTCTTTTATCTCTCCAAGTAAACCAAGGGATTACTGAAATGCAAAATTAATTCTTTTGAGATATCACTTCTTGCCTTTCTGACACGATTACAAGCTTTTCTTCTGTTTACTTGCTCCTTTTCCAGCAGGGTTTTCTTTTTTTTTTTTTTAAACTCCTTTCATGATCAAACTTGCTCATCTGTCACTCCAGATTACAGCTGCTGAGTTCCAGCCACACTTTGGGGCACAGAACAGGAGCTACTCTTGAACAGTATAAGAGGCAAGGAAAATGATTCCTATCTCTGATTTTCCTTCCAGAAAATGTACAGGAGAAAGCAATGACTGGTATACTGCCAGAGCCTAAAGAAAAAAAAAAATGAATAAGAATTTGAAAGAAAATGTGCAACATGGGAATGTGAGGACTGAGTGTGGCAGCCTGAGCCTTATCTCACTGCAGTCAATAGGAACTTTACCTTTCACTTGAGTAGGAGCAGAACAGGACCCACACAAGTTTCCTGGTACAGTCCCAGTATTAGGAATTTTTGGCAGAAGATCCACACTGCTATTGAGTTCCCTTTAGAGAACTGATTTCCCCTGCACACCACAATATATGGTGTTAGGCTACGTACCAAAACTGCTGGAACCTAGTTCAGCAAAATTATAATTCTGAATGTGGCAGCCAAAAAAATGTTTAACATACTGCTCCAGTTAAAGAAAATTACCCAGCTATCAAACAGGATTCACAAAAACAAGAAATGGAAAGGATTACAGCATGTCTTTTACAACAACCAGCTCAAATTGAAGAAGGGGACTCCAGGTCTGAAGCCATTAGACATGTTTATTTCTTTATAGAAAGTGAAAGACATTGTAATGACCAGTGTTTGCCTTCTCTCTCCAGATATGCCTGTTACCTTCTGATAGAAGGTGGTTTTGAGAATCAGTGTTCTCCAGTCTTGAATAGGCCTACAATCTTGAAATGCCTTTGAAAAGCACAATTGATTACTTTTTAGATTAATCCTATCCATTCTAATATTCTACTAGCGAACTAAGGAGACAATTAACATAAATTTATATTCTGAAGAATTCAGAGTGGAGAGGATTTTCTGCGTTACAAGACCAACACACAAAAACTTTTGAGCAGAAGAGGCTGAAGGAGGAAAGGAGAGATGCTGTGGGTACAGGGGACAAAACTCAAGAGGTCTAGGCTACAGAGCAAAAAGTGGCTTGACGGGACTGACAAAAATACCAAGCCACAAATGACTGTACAGACTACTGAGATTCCTTAAGATGATTAGCTAGAGCAAACAAGGAAATATATCCAGCCAGGAGCAAGAAGCAGAAGAGAGCCTGAATGAACCACAAGCCAGAGTAAAAACTCCAGACCACAAAGCTCCAGCGACTCCAGCTGAGAAAGGTGTCTTGCTGTAGCTAAGATACTAGCAATTGTTTACCAGATGAGGCATCTTCCATTCCAGAACATCGCTGCTATAGCAGAGACGCACTGTAAACCAGAGTTAAAGCTCTCGTGGAGGGAGCTGAAACAGGCAACTGAAGCAAAGCCTTCTGGAAGAGCAACCCCACACCCAGCAGCTGAAAAGCTGTAACATCTTGTTCCAGCGATGGCACATCATACGCTGTACCAAGAATGCAGAGAAGCCCAGACAAGCACACAAGAAAATATTAAAGGAAGAGAGGAGGCCTGAGAAGCAGTTATTAGGAAAGAGCAATAAGGGAATGGAAAATACGAGAACAAGAATGAGTGCAGTGTGGGAACCCTGAGAACGGCTTGCCAAATGAGAAGACTCCAGTTACCAAATAGACCAAACTGCCAAGAGAGAAGCTCAGTAACTATTTCCATCTCAAAGAGGACCTCTGGAGCCTAAGAGCAACCTGTGAAAGAAACAGAGAAAGAGCTAGAGAAAAACCCAATTACTTTCGTTTTTAGTTAATCTTTATCTCATCATTGATAGAGTGCTTTGCCATCCAGGTAGGCAGTGGAGACACCCACTCTTAAACACAGGAAGTTGTATTTGACATGAGGTATTTTCTGTGATACTCATTGAACTGAAAATCCCCTTGTAGGTGAAGTCCATAAATAGGACCAAGAGTCTGTATTCCCATGGCCAAGTTACCATGCCTACTGACATGTCCTGACAAAGACACAAAGATCAAGACAGGCCTCAGCAGGTGTGTTCCTCCACCAGAGTGGTGGCTGAAACCTTCTGTCACAGGCATTCAGCAACCTCAGTGGGGTCCCCTGTACCAGGGCTTCTCCAGCAAGTCCCTCCAAAGCCTCCTGCCCACTGCAGGAGCCCTCCCCAAAGTGGGGTTCTCTGTCATTATAAATGTGCCCTATCTCCACCAGTAAAAGGAAGCAAAAACCTTTTTTTTTTTTTTTTGAGAAATAAATAAAAAGTTGTGGTGGTCCTATGTGAAAAAGCACTAGCTCATAGTACAGAAACACTTAAGTGTTTGGTATTGCTCCATAGTGCCCTTTCACATTGGAAGGACGAGTCAAAAATCCCTTAGCAACACATTAAAGAGCATCTTTCTCCAGGTTAAAATCTGCAGGTATTACTTGAAAATTACTATCTATAAAAGAATTTGGAATTAAATTATTCATACTCATATGGTGCTCTTGTCCTGCTAGCAAAATCTCATCAGCACTAAAAATTGCTCACACATCTGGAAGAACCAGCACAGTCATCTGAGAAGTAGTTCATTCCCAAGCCGCAGAGAGCTCTGCATTAGGCTAGTCCTTTTTAAAGACATTCCCCTTTCTTTTGTCAGCAACTGTGGGAGATGCTTAATTCTGCTTTAGTTCTAGAAAGGTCTTTTCTTGACCATCTCCGCCTCCAGCCTTGGGATTGTGAAGGTTTTCACACTGCTGCCCTACAGCCAAAAATGCATTCCCAGATACTCCTTATGCAGTAACTAAAACACAGTTTTGACCTGCTTCTGCAAAATTAGCTTTGGCAACTTCAAGGGGAGTTTGCAGAAGCCTCAGTCCTCCACTTTCTCACTTGATGAGAGGTGAGATACTGGTGCTCAGTGGCTAACACGATGTTAAATCTCCACCTTGGAGTAAGAAGACTTCTTATCAGAATTTTCTCCCCAGTTATAGAAGCAGAAAATTTAATGAGATCACTTTATGAACTTCAGAATGGTGCAGAAAAATAGCTGTTTGAGGCAGCCACAAGAACTCAATTGCTTCTGCCCAAACTTTGAAAGACAGAAAGAAATAATATCATAATACCATGGATACTTATGAACTCCATCTCTGGGAAGAGAGAAGCGTAATCAGAAAAACATACATAATTTTACCAACTTCACATGGTTATCTCAACAATAAGCGATTGCTCTGGTATGTCTGGAAGTCTCCTCCAACTTCCCGCCAATTATCTCTACTGGTTTTTAAATATCCCAAGTCTCTCAGCACACAGCATACCAAATTCATGCAAATCAATGGAATAATTTAAACCTCACAACATTTGTTGATAATGTTCATCAAAACAGGAGTTTCCAGACCAGCAGGTATTAGTAGTGATGAATACAGAAGTTGCACTATTACCCTTCCTCCCCCCGCCTCCCCCCCCAAGTAAATCAAGAGACTTACTCAGTAGTCTTTAGCTCACAGTAAAGGAAACATATGGGGATTATTCTTGTTTGCTTTCTTTGAATTTAAGAACAAAGCCAAGAGTACTGTCAAGTTCAACATGGTGGTTTTGGATGATGAACATTTAATTTCAAATTAAGAATTACAGATCAGGCATATATAATGTCAGGAAAAGTCTTCTATAGAAAGACTTAAAGTAGACTGCTTTTTCTGAAAATACCAGACAGATGAATATGTGGAATCCAAGACCAAAATACACTGCCATTAATTTCAATGCTGATATTTTTACAATAGTAATATAATTAATTTTTGTAAATCCCTTACAGCTGTACCACCAATATAGCATAGTATTTTAATAGGCTATTTTCATCACCTTATTTTTAGAGATGAAATTTTGTGCTTCAGTTGTTTAAAAATGATTAGCTATGTGGGTGAGAACTACTGTTACAGGAAAGTAAAGGACTAGGATTTTAACCAGGCACAGAACAACCCTTCCCTCCTCCCACTTATATAAAAAAGTAAAACTGAGTAAATTCCTCCTATAAGCACCGATACAGAGAAAAATTATGAATATATCTGAAACATGAGACTTTTGCTGCTTGGATCAAGCAAGTTCATTAAGCCAGATGTGCCTGGATTATTCTTACTAGAGATCTAAAAACCTCATGGTTGTTTAGTTATCCGGTGTTGGCTTAGCCATAGTCAAAAGTTGAACAACATATTACATGAGTAACTGCAACACATTGACCTAAACACACACGCAACAGTTCCGTGAATGAACATCATTAAGATTGAGAGGTCCAGAACGTATCAAAGTACCAGCATTAACTTACATTTGCAACCTCGCTGTCCACACTAGAATCCTTATGGGATCATGCACCATTTTTCATAGGGCTCCAACCTTCTTCTAGTCATCCAGATCCTCCACAGGCAGATGGGCACTGCACCATGGGACCTCCAGGAAATACAGGGGTGAAACCTGCAATGTCTGTCCTGGACACAAGTGCATTGCTGCTTTTTGGAAGACTCACAACCTGCATGAATTGTAAGGGCAAGGCAAGAGATACCAAGCTGGCACAATAGCCTTGCGCACTGCCAGATTTTAGCCATTTTCTTTGAAGCAGGCAATGCCAAACCTTACCTCAGTCTCCATTTTCAAACACAGGCACAAAAATATACTTTTTACCTCCCTTCAGAAACTACTGGAGCTGTTAAACCTTGTCTGAAACCATCCAGGTGAAACGGATGTTCACACAGACTAAAATGTAGACATCTCTGAAACAAATGAGGAAAAAAAGTCCATTAAAATTCTATACTTTGTTCTTTTTCCATTTGATATAGTTTGGGATCACTTTTTTGTCTTAAATACTTATGGCATTAGAACATACATACAGAAAAGCATTTATGGTTATCAGATGTTTAGTTTTGCCTTAGAGTGGTCAACCAACACATGTAAGCTACCTGCTTTTTTCCAAAGCAAAGTATTCTGTCTTAATAAATAACTTGCTATGATTTCAAAGTTACATATGTAAATATACCAGCATCATTATTTGCCTGTTGGAAAAAAAATAGATTTTAATAAAAACTTAGACCAAAATTAACATTTTATTCCTTTACAAAGAATTGCAGCTAAAACCTTTATCTCAAAAAGTATTTTTATGGTTTAAACACACATTAAGAAGTTGGATAAATCTGCAGAGGTTTCTAGAAGATTTGTGTTATTCTTGAAGTGACATTGTTGATTAGAAAATTATTGCCCTATGCTTAATATTCTTTACAAGTTTGTATTAAGGTTGTTTTGGAGGGGAGGAAGGTGTTGTGTGGCAGGGGTTTTTATTTTGTTTTGGGGGGTTATTTTTTGTCATTCGCTGGGGTAATTCATTTGGAGTATTCACACATCCTAAAACACTGTCTTTATCAAAGCAGGCACCTGAGGAAACAGTGGCAGTCAAGAGGTTTTTAATTTGCCAAGATGTAAAAGCCTCTCTTCAAATCCATCTGGATATTTCAATAAAACAATCCTTTATATGAACATAGCCTTCACTTGTGGAAATACCATCTCTACCAGGTCCAGTTTACCTTTGCAAAATCCCAGTAACCATCAAATACAAGGGTTTTGAGGAACTCCAGATTACAGGAATTGGGTCACATGGAAGGGGAGCATTTCAAACATGCCTCTGACAGCCAACAGCATCTCTGTGCCTTCACTCAACACTATTTACTGCATTTTGGAGGATGGAAAGTATGTTGAAGGCTTTTGGTTTAGCAAACTTGGGGATAGGAAGCATCCTTCTGGGCTTCGTATCAATTGCTGGAAGAAATAACATGTACTGGGAACAGTCAGGTAAGGGTGCCCTTGTCCTACATGTGCATGGAAACAATGCAATACTTCAGAAATGAAGATATTCATCTGTTTTAACAAAAAGAGCATTTTACTACCTAAATGATACTTCTCAGGAAATTCTGGTGCCCACAAAAGCACTAAAAACCTGCTCACTACCATCAGACCATCGTCAAGTAACAGGAAGAATCCCAATGACACCAAATCTGCTTGTTCTGTGCTATCGAATTTTATGCACTCAAATTACTACACTTGGCAGTCTGACAGTAAAAAAAAAAAATCAGATCTTCATTTTGCATAGCAGCAGGTAACCTATTACTCCAAACTTGTGAATAATTTAACAGAATAGCTACCAGAGAAACATTTGCTAACACTGACAATCTCTGCCTTGTTGATGGTAGGGGATTTATTTTCCATTCTTTCCTGTGCCTCTCCAGTTGAGCTGCTTCCCTCATTTGACAATCTTCCTTGAGGACACTGAAAATACCACAAAGCATTTGGAAGAGGGAGTGTTTACAAAGTTTATAAATAGACTGTGCTGAATCCAGAGTAGTTAGTTGTAAGCAAAGAAAAAATGTGAATAACTTACAAGTATGCCAGATGACTGAAAATCCAAGGTTCATTTAGATGTTAGGCATAGACTGCATAATATATGCATGTAGGGTAAGTACCACTGCATAATCCAAGGGCAAGAAAAATAAGTGATGGGCTACATGCAGACAAAATGCATGTAATACAGCTGAAATATCAATTGAGACACATGTTAAATTAGCTCATGATCCTGAAAATACATTCCTGCAATCCTATGCACCATGTGCAAGGCAGGATGTGTTTTTCCAGACTATTTACTGAAAAAGGAATTATTCTGAAAGAAAAGCCTTAAACCTCTTAGAATTATTCAGATCTTTGCCATTGCAAATACAGCTTCTGGGGAGAATTTTAGAAAAAGAACAGTAAGCACTGAAAAGATACCTTGTTTTATCATGGAAGCAGCTAATTTGCAGTGAAAAACCTTGGCCCTCCTTGCCCCCTGCTGTTATGTTTTAAAAATTAATGCAGGGCTCCATCAGATCAATGTTTATTTCAGACAGGGAGGTTTTGGCTGAGCTGTAACTCATGTCCTTGGCATGTTTTAAGTAGCATATCAGAATGAATCATCTACTTTAGTAATACTGTGCCTTATTTCTGTCTCTTGTTTAGAGAACTAATGCACAGTGCAGGAATCTTTAAGGATTTAGTCTCCCATTTGGGACACAATTACACGTACACATGCTGTGATGTGTGACTGCAGTCCATTAAGCAGCATCAACTCTGAACTTCCACACTCCATACACATCTCTTGATTTAACTCCTGTAGTCTAAAATATTAACGAATTCTTCCACCTTGTGTCTCCCAGAGGAATATAATACAGAAAAACCTTCATTATTATATCATTCAAGCCATTTGTTTTTTCTAGGAGTTTAAATGCATGATATTAACAGGAGCCTGCAGGGCTTTCTAGCCAGACACAGGAACTGGTTGCAGAGGGGAGCACACACAGCACAAGAAGTTACCCTCCAGCTCTCAGAACTAGACGGTTATTTCTAAGCAGAGTATCAAATGCATGCTATGTAAAAATTGCTGATAGTTGCCATAAGATATTGGTGAGCTCCTCAAAAAACAAAATGGCTTTTTGGGCCATTGAGATCCCTTCTTTACTCTCAGCAATGTACTTTTTGCAGAGGTACATTCAGAGTTGGACCCCAGAGATTGATGCTGGCTGTGCTCAGTCTCTCGTGAGTTGCTGAGTTCAGTAAGGCACTATCAGTAACACTGCGGTTCTCCATGGGATGTAAGACTAGCGATCTTGTTGCATCTTACTGAGTGGCTTCCTTTTATCTCCTCCAAGAACTGCTCTCCACAGTGATAATATCAGATGAATGATACTGTAGCAGAGTACGGCTCTTTCCAACACTGCATCTGCATTCTCTCTACCACAGTGCTCCAGCTTGGGGTTTCTTGACACAAAATGGCTTCCTTCCCAGGCTGTTGTGTAGTTCCAAATACTGTAAAAGCAAAAAGCTTGATGGTGGCCCTTCAAATTGCATTGGGCTTTTTTGTCCTATAGTGTGTAAGTCTGAAGAGATTATCCTCCCAAACAATACCAGCTGCATTATGATAACCTTATTAGGTCTCAGTTATTTGGATTGACATTTCTACCACCACACTAAGCTCTGCAGCATAGGCTTGCTATTGTCTGACTAAGCTCACACATCTGAAAAGTGGAAACAGCAGTATACTACACTGCTGATATTCCTGCTCAATTTAAAGCAAAACCAGGAATAGTCTACTAATACAGAGCCATTTAGTTTTCCTGTTTAACTCAGATGCACCTCTTGTCAGTGTCCCAGGAATCACTGGGAACCTCGTTCTTTTGCATTTTGATTCTTCTGGATGGAGTTTGGACCCTGTGCCTCTTTCTACTCTTTGCCCCTCCATTTGTGGTATGGGAAAATGTAAAGCCAGATTGTTTGCCATCTTTTTTGGTATTTGGCTTTCATAAACAGTTGAGCTTTCCTGCTTTCCCTACAAGGGGAAGAACACACACAGGGGCACAATAATGGGAGCCAAACAACGCTACACATCTGAACAGCAATTCATATAGCTGCATCTTATATGTGACTTTGTTTTTAAGCTATGTGGTCCTTATGCAATAGGCTTATTGGAATACTTGGATAACCCCTCAGAAAAGATTTAGCATAATCAGAAAAGGTTTCTTTAGCAAACCAATTCAGTGTTTTATCTCCTGGCTGTATGCAAGCACAGACTTCATCTCTTTCACAATCTAATGATTTGGAATTCTTTTTCTCCTCTCACTGGCAATTCTTAAATTATGTTGCACACCGAACTGGAAGTTTCTTAAATATATACCAGGCTATAGCACTACATGTAGAGATTTAAAATATAAGGGCAACAATTATTAGTAGTTTAATTAAATCATTAATTTTAATGAAAAATGTTGAACTTGCATTGCAGCTCCACAGTGTCATTCAGAGGCTGAAACATGCCATGGCTAACTCAAAAGGAACTAGGACACAACTCTTAAAACAATTCCTCCCCATCATACTATGGGGTGAAATAATTATACTTTCCTTTGCACAAACCAGCATATTTAAGTCAATTTAGGCAGGTGGGTTGCAGCTACCCAAAATGCTTTCAAAATGTTAGAAACAGCTCCCTCCATTCACTGGTTCCCATGACAGATCATACAACGGCTTTATACTATCCTTGCACTTACATTTTGATGGGGGGAGGAGAGGGGTTTCTGGGCATTTTTTTCCTCACAACATGTTCTGACATTATTTTTACGTGGTTTGTTAACAGCATAATTTAGCTCAGGAAACGTTACAACCAATTGTATGAAAATCTTGAATTGCTTTCGCAATGACAGGTAATGCGATCTCACACCAGGGGTTTATTTTGGTTTGCTTCCCTTTATCATATTTTCAGTTTCAGTTTAGCTTACAGTTGTTCAATCCCTAATGTGCTACACTAGGAATTCATTGTGAAAGAAGAATAGCAACTCAGCAGTATCCCACAATTCGACTTGTGTTGTCTGCATGCTGTTTTGTATGTAAAGGAGTAAAAAAGTACTTACAAATAAGTTGTAGGAGGATATTTTTAGTCTCTTTGAAGAGCAAGTCAAGCTGTGTGCCGAAATGATACAAAGAAATATAGCTCATATTTTGCAAGAGTTCTCTTCAAGAAAAGCGGTTTGGAAACCTTTTTTTTTTTTTTTTTTTTTCCTAAACATGATATATTTATGAGCTCCTTGTTTCAATTATGACAATTTCTTAAGACTTGAAATTGTTTTCTGCAGAGGCATCTCACAGGCGCACGTCTGAGCTTTTATCTACAATAAACAGCAAATGCCCACAAGGGCAGTGAGGAGTCCTGGTTGTGTTGTGCATTTAACCTCAGTAAAACCTAGAAGACTTTACTACTTCATTTCT